TACCAACAAGCTCGGAAGCAAGGGTTGACGTTACCATGATGGATGACATTTATGTTTGTGAACAATTCAGACACCTAACTGATACAACTGTACAGTGTGCCAGGGACAATTTAATCACTGGAATGGTGGGGAGTGTTATGGAACAAGTTTAGTAATCCAAAAAAGTGTTCGTAGAATTCATTTCAGTAACATAGTAGTACCACGGTTAGTGGTTTAATTTCTCATCCGAAAGCTGGGGATTGCCACAGGCAAAACAAAAATTCGACACTATAGAAAAGGGAATCATTGTAGCACAATAGTGATTACAACAAGTTTATTTCAGAGTAATACTATTTACGTGTGTACATCTTGCATTTTCCCTCAAAGAGTTGTGGTCCGAGGTTCCTGTCATCGCAACAGTTGAGGTTGTGTATCGCAACCCCCCAAAGTAAAAATATGGAGTGGAGGATGACCGAGTATGGGTTGAATATCGGCAGAATAATCTTGGTGCGCAGAGTGAATGCGCATTGCAACGTAAAAATAATCACAAATAGGGGGTCGTCAGTAAGCTTGATAATCATAACTTCACCGTGTTAAGTGGTCGCACAAAAACTTCATGCGCGGGGTTGCGACCAAACCCCGCGAACACTTTTTGTGATGCAACTACCCCAAGGTCCCAGTAGGCTAGTATGAAAGGAAGGATCCAAAGGTTGTTGACAAAGGAGAACCTGAAGACTGGAATGATGTTGATAATCCACCAGGTGGATGGCACCCATATTATTACAGACCCAAGTTCAAAGCAGGTACAAGGAAATACAAAGGGCATGTTCTTTCCTCTGAGTGCAAGCCTATAGATATTCCTAAAACACTGAACTGGTCTTGGGAAGGAACCTACTACTAGTATCAGGGAGGAAAATGGATGGAAGTTTCATTACCTTGGGTGGGATGGGACAGTTGATGATCCTAACAACCATTTTGCAAGGAAGTATGATAATAGGGAAAATATGTTTCCTGAGGAGCAGAAGGAGAAACTGGATATCTTCAAGCTACAGCAGCATGGGCTTACAAAAGACCGCATTGGAAAAGGAGATGTGTTCTTCTTCTAGTATCAGTTGCTGCTACCTATTGATCCAGATTCAATGGAGGCTCAGAGGTATCAGATTGAACCTGAGAAGAAGCATACTTATTCTTACAACAAGTTGATGAGATATATCAATGTGTACATCTCTAATTCCAATGAAGGAGAAGGGTATCAAATGAAACCTGTGACATTACCTGAAGCAGTTCATTTTGATGGCATCTTCTGTATGTATGGAACTTGTGAGGGAGGCAGTAAAAACATCAACTTTAGATGGGATGCGAAGGATCTTTCCTTCAATGAGGACATTGCAAACACTATGAGTTGTACAAGTTGGCATGATATTAAAAGGAACTTGCTTTTTCACCAGATGCCAATGCCGTTGCTCGTTTGGTTGCTGGTTMCCACAATTCATCTCCTCATAGTCTTGAAATCAAAGGAGAAGCTTTGACCCATGTAGTAAGGATGTCCCCACTCATCATATGCAAATTCTTTTGTACACTGGATGCATGGGGTAAAGTTGTTTTCCCTCTTCATTACTGTCCTGTAGATCTCAAAGAACCACTTGTGTTTGTCCCCAACCTACATCTTCAGAGGAAGCAGTGGCTTTGGAAATCAAACCAATTCAATGACCTTTGCAAGATACTTCTTTTCACGCAGATCTTCTTGAAACAACCAGTACAGGTCTCATTGATTATTTCTGGTGAAGGGGGCTCCTCAGGAGCTTTGTGGGGGGATGCAGAGGTATCCATTACAATTTGGATCTTTCATCCAATCCCTCAATCCCTGGATTGATTTCATGTTGCTTTATTAACTCAATTGCTTCCCTTGCCTTTGTCGCTGGATGAAATTTCATCTCCATGTTGCCCTTTACAATTGCCAGCTTGCACTTTGACATCCAGTACTTGTAAGCACAGGCCATGGGTCCTTTGCAAACAAGCATTTGGGCTTGATGCCTTGCCTTCTTTGTTTTTGCTCTCCTTTTTTTTAATTTTACCCTTTGCTTTGGATGAAGACAACCAAACAAGAGTGCTCCAGTACATTGGGGGGACTGAGTCTGGGGAGCTGTCAGCTTATTGGTGATATACATCCTTATGGAGGTCTTCTACAAAAAAAATCTCCTGCTGGTGTTTTGAGTTGTTGCAGCTCAGTTTTTTACTTGTTTAGCTGCTTGCTTTTTGCAGTATCCTCCATTTTTAACTGGGATTGTCTGCCCCACAGGAGGTATTGTTCTAATTCAATTTGAGGAGAAAGAATTGGGATCGATACGTAGTGTTATAGCACAGAGAAATGCTTCTGGCATAGTTCTCTCTGATAAACCAGAAAGAGAACAAATATCAAGGAGGTGTCTTGCCCAAATATGAGTTCACACAATTAGTGGCCTAATTTTGTTAGCTGAAAATAGTAGTTGAGGTAAGGAGTGTCTGTTGTGGGACTCAAATGTGTTGAGTCTAGTAACAAGTAGTCTTTACACAGTAAAAAGATGACCTGTTAGGGAGGAGGCCTGAACATACTAGCATTAACAGGATCCCTACAAAGGAATGGTTTGTCATCTCCAACTGCAAAACATGGTTGGAAAACTTTGGAATTAACAAAGGTGGTTGGAATAAATAGTGATGAGAAAAGTTCTTGGATTTGGGCACTTGGACATTTATCTTTGATTACTAATTATATTGAATATAGAACTATGCATGAATTGAACATTATAGAAACAGGTGTGCATGTTTCCACTAACAAACAAACCCAGGGACATTGTTGTTGTTGTTGTTGTTGTTGTTGTTGTTGCTGCTGCTGCTGCTGCTGCTGCTGCTGCTGCTGGGGTCTTTCTTGTTCAAAAGTTCATTCTCATTGGATTTGCTCTCAACTTTGCATATCCGCCCCCCAGAACCAAGCATGTATCAGATTGAATCTGACTCCCTTGATAAGCTTCTACATACTTTTATAAATGTAGTTATACATCAGAGTGTCTTCCACTTCTTCATCCCTCATTGTAGTCAAATGGTCAGATTCAAACTGAAGACACAACTTGGTCTTAGTATTGATAGTTCCCTTTGGAAAGGTTAAGAAAAGTCTCTTGTCTGGTACAAAAACCACAAAACAAAGAGCTTCATTCTGGTAATTTTCAGGAACATGTGCTGTTTGTGACTTTCTATACTTATTGGGGGATGGGTAACACAAGAAAGCCAACAACAGAACACCATTGTCAGAAATCCTCACTTTGCCAAATACATCAAAGTACTAGTAGCTGGTCCTCAGGGATCTTTTGGGGAGTACTAACCTTTGAGTATAAGTTAGGACTACTCATATCAAATGGGATATTGAAATTATTCTTCTCTTCTGTAAACAAACCTTGGAACCATTCCAGGTACATATTGGTATCATAGGAATTTGGGAACTGCCATGCACTTGAGCCAGTTGTTCAAAGGGATTCCGCAAAGCATGTGTGTATGTAGTATTGACAAGGAGTGGTTCTTTGTGAATGCCAAGCTGTTTGTTGCTGTTGTTCTCAAAATTTTGGATCAGGTACCTAAACATTCCAACTGCTTCCACCAAAATATGCAGCTTGTCAAGAGCTGGTGCATAATTGATCTGCAGGAGAGACATAGTGCAGGTGATTTTGAAAAAACTGTCATTTCTGCTGGATGTCAGCAGCGGCAGCCTTTTGGCCAGGGTGGCTGGGTCTTCCTTTGTTGAAGAGAGAGAGAGAGAGAGAGAGAGCAGTCTTTTTTGCAGGAAACAATTGGTATTTTCTGTTTTTGTTGTTGGTCTGCAATATGGATTGTCATCTTTGTCTTTTTTGTTGATCTTGTTTGTTGTCATTTTGCAGGATTGCCTTTTTGAACACAAAGGAATTGATATACTAATCAATTGATCTTCTTGTGTCAAGGTGTGTTCTTTTGGAACAAAAGCAACATTTGATGTCTCTCTGGGATAGCAAAAAAGTCATATAGAACACTTACTATGGGATGGAGGAAGTAGTAGTTTAGTGTTCTACTACGCCTTGCTGATTGCAGATACTACTAGAACCGTTGACAAACCTGTACCGTACCCGTCTACAGTATGAAGAGTATGAAGGACTCATTCACTGAGGTGAGTCATGTCCGTGACTAACGATGACTCATGGCCACGCGGAAGGCATCCTCGTAGTTTTTCCTCCATCACCGGCAACTGACTGACTCGGCTGTATGTGTTGTTCTCTGGGAAACGTTACCTTCAGTAAGAACGAACTAGTAGTACGTACTACCCGGACTACAGTACGAACTGCGAGTATCCGTTTTATGTTTTACAGTATCGAAGTATGATTTTGCCTCATTTGATGCATCATCGTTGTCTTTTAGTCTCACTCGTCGACAACATCGTTTTGCAATAAGTCTGCTGAAGGCAAACTCATCAGGTTATTCGGCTCTGTTTCATCAACGTCAGGCAGATATTTGACGTTTTCAACATTACGTAAACATAATAGAGCGTCCTGCCTGAACTCTACAAAGGCAGCATTTAATTTTCACTGTCAATTTTTGTACCCAGACTCTTACCGGTAACATCGACGACACCTTTGCGAAGAAAAGAGCAAACAGTGATGAAGACTGGTGAAATGTGCTGTGCCGGAGTCACTGCAGAGAAACCAATGAAGAAAAGACCAAGATCTCTGCGGTGGTCAACAGCGTCATCACCGATATCAAATGTATTTGTTTTTCTTCTACTCATTGCTTGGTCCGAGCGGTGTGTCAAGCAGCCACTTTGTGCTCACAGTTTTATTTCACCTCAACGGAGTTTTTCTGTAACCAGATGGTCTGAAGTAGCAGCTGATTCTAGTAAGAATGGACAAGAGGAATCTCCATTAAATTCTTGGTCCAATTCGGCTGTAGGTGGAAGAAAAAGAGAGAGCCGCCTACAAGTACGTAGGCGGGTGAAAGCAGTACTTGAAAAGGCGCGAATACGAACTGGTGTTAGAAATGGCTCTGTTCCCTCGTCTTCGTCGCCACCTCCTCGACCAACATCGAATGTTGTTGCCGAAGCGGCATCTATTGGTGGTCTGGGAGATGGATCGGCTGATATCGTCTTTACGTCTTCTACTTCACAAGTTCTAAAAAGAAATGGAGTGACCAATGGTGCCACCAACGCCACAGCGGTGGCAAAGCAATCAAAGAACGGATCGTCGCAATCGACAAACAGTACAAACTCATTTCTGTACCAAGATGATGAATTGGGACTGGGAATGAGAAACGATGCATTTCTCAATACCTCAGCAGGTACGAACGGTATCAGTGAAGAAGCGTTCGAGACATCTTCAAATACCAGCATTCAGAGAAGCTATGTAAGTGGCAATTCGAATTCTACAACATCGGAATCGTCTGGCACGACAACGGATGTTCGCCCTCGAAAACCGAAGGAATTCGATGTCATTCGGGGAGACGTACCCTCGGCAAACGCATTTGTGGAGCCACTTCCTTTTCAACTGCCCAAATTATCTGTAGAACAAAAACAGAAACTTGTTAATGGTGAGCGTATACAAGAACAGTCTCGAATGGGAAGAGAAGGTTCTGGATACGTCGTTTTAGATGTCGAAGCTCCACCATTCGTTGTCTGGGAGTGCTTGTTAGATTTTGAATCATATCCCGAGCTCATTCCGACCGTAAAATCGATGCAGCTATATACCAGTACGAAACTCAATACTGGGTTCATCAGTGAAAAGCCAGTGGTACCAGGCACGGGAAGAGAAACTCGGCATTATGGGACACCCAGCATCACTCGGGCATCATTTATCTTGAGCAAGTTTAGGTTCAACATCGCCGCAATTCATCGATACACCCCTCACCCAGAAGGTGATTACATGGTCTTTACACTTGATCCATCCTGTACAAATGCTGTACTTAAAGGAGCGAAGGGTACTTGGTACACCCAAGAAAACCCTGACGGAAGAGAAGTGAGTTTGTCGAAGATGTGGACGAAAGATAAATACATTTTTTTTCCTCTGTGGATTGCTGTTTTTCGAATCAATCTCTCATGTAATTGCTCTCCCTACATACTACTTTTGCTCTATATTTCGCTATATCTGAAGGGATTCACACGAGTTTATCTTCTTGCCGGTTTGCAAATCTCCAGGGCATTACCCAAATTTATAGTTGACTACGCAGCCGATCGGGCGATGCCCAGAGCAACCAAATGGCTCAAACCCGAAGTAGATGCGCTGAAAGAAGAATTGTTCACCGCTAAGGATCCATGAAAAATGTATTTATTGCCCCAACACCACGGAGAAGAGAACCGATGATCCCACCAAATGTTGAGCATACCATGAAACGAAAATTTCTTGAAATGTTGATTTCAGTCCTTTTGTAATCCTTACAAATCGTCGCTAGATGTATCCCATTGGTGTGGGCTCAAAGGAAGGAACCAGCAAGTGGAATAGTGGTAGTTCCTCCAATCAAGTGAAGCTCAGTCGGGATAAAACCACAACGTCATCCTTCCTCTCCGTTTTTCCACAAACTTGTGACGACACGAAGAGCATCTTGGAGATCAAAATAATATTATTATACTGCGAACGAGCAACCACAGAATTAAAATGAATGAAATCATTTCTTGTCGACTAAAATATATAGACTAAAGCGTGCGCTGTTCCATTTCACGTCGACAACTAAACTAATTTATGCAAAGGAGTCGAACGTTGTGCCATTCTGTGCAATGATCGGCGTGAAACGAGTTTAGGTCCACTGCCAGGCCTACGTCTTGCATCCCGAGGATGAATAGGCAACTGAAGATGCAAAAGGGAACCGGTGTCAGAGTTACTAGGAAAGTTTTCAATTCCATCTTCAGGGAGTTCAAGGTCAGTGTTGGTTGTAGCATTTGCAATACGACGAGAAATAAGAGGGTTCAAGTTGATGTCTTGATTGGGAACAATATCATGTTTTATCGTGGGTGTATCGCCCGACTGAGTAAAAACATTTTCGGCAGTATCCAGATCCCATCTTCCGTTTTCTCCACCTCTCAAGTTCTCTTTGCTTCGTGACAAGCTGATAACATTTGAAGTTACCGTGTTTTCTTTCTCGTGTAGCGGTGATTGTTTTTGATGCAGTTTTTGATGTTGAGCATGCAATAGATTTCTCTTGCGCCAGACAGGAAGGTGATCATATTGCTCTAGACCATCCCCCCTTTGACTGCCTCGATCCGTAGGAACTTGCTTAGAATTTATGTCAAGACTCGAATATCCATCGGCAACAGGTTTGCGTGTGCCAGATGTGATTCTCTTAGCATACTGCGAGGGCAATCTCGTTGTAGTTCGGAAGCGATCACACAAAATACTCACATCGTGTGGAAAGGGCACAGCCGAGCAAAGGCTGCAGCCTGCGGTAGTCGCGTGTTGGAGATTTTTGTTGACGTGTTCGCAGTTTCGATAGTGTCTCCACACTCGCCTAGAGTTCTTACATCCCGGTACCTCACACTCGCTTCCCGCCGTGCAGGTAATGATATGAGCAAACACACGCTTTGAAGCACAGCAGTGGACCACACCGGCGGGACAGTCACTCAACTCATCGCATGGGCATGTTGCAGCTGTAGAAAAGTCAAATGTGAGGAAGACGAACAAACAAAGGAACAGACGATTAAATTAAATCAAGATGCCGGAATTATATCAAAATTCTAATTCTTCTCGGATAATCATATCAATGAGTGATAGAGCAGCAACCACAGAACTCACCATGAAAAAGAACTCTTAGTTTCGATCGATTCCTAGCCAATTCCGGGTCCATGCCGTAATAGTCGTCGTCATCATCGTTAGTGCATACAGGAATGCAGAGCTTAGGTCTCAGCTTCTGTTGCTGGATTGTCTGTATCTCGATCGCCATTTTGCCTTTGTAGGATCACGAAAAAATATTATGTCGTCCAAATGACGTTCCGTTGCCAACAGATTATGAGTGATGGAGAGAAAGCAATTGGCATTGAAGGATTTAGGAGGTAGGACTGACCGATCGGATTCTCTTTTAATATTATGGGACTCAACTCTTGTGAACGAAAAGATGCCGTCCTCCCGCCAAATTCGAACTGAACAAGATCGTGAAAAGGAGCAAAAAGTGGTAAAACTCTTTCAGTTGGCGCCACATTGATAAATGAACGCGCCAGGTGACTCACAACAGTCACATTATTTAGGGAAAAATCTCAAAAGCAGGTTTGTTCTGTTGTCCGGTATTGTACGGAACGTACAGTACCGTACCTAAATGCTGTAAAATAAAATGAATTACAGAACGCAATGGAACAAAAAATGCAACAGTATGAAATCGTGTACAATTCTACGTACATCTACATAACCATCCTGTCAGAGCAGAAAATCCGTCGAGTCGGTTAAGCAAAATTAGTACTTGCATTGACGAGCACAAGGCAATTTCCATAATAAACAGACGTATGATGGAGGTTAATCTTGACAAGAACAGCAACGTTTTGATGATTGCATTAACCTAAGCTTAGAGGGGTACAAGTAGTTAGCACCAGCTACTCCGTACTATTAGCGTTCTACTAGTTGTACGAGTACGCACTGGTATCAGCGACTCGCTCAGCGACTCGTATTATCAGCAGGAGTACTTGTGCCTAACTTCGAAGTACGATACAACTTCAGTACTTTGATTTACTTCGTAATACTATGTACTACCACTGTAGGCAAATGTAACATGAAGTGTTACAAAAAGAGCAATATTTTGAACAAGACTATTTCAGTCACTACTATTGTTTAAGAAGGAAGCAAAAATCATCGCAGATGCAAAGTATGCATGAAGATTGATCCCAGTCGAACAAATTACTGCAGGTGGTATTAAAGTGGATGAGCACTGATTTTGTCTGTAGACAGAAACCTCAACCTCCGGCATTACATCATAACTTCGGTTTTTGAAAAAAAATCACTTACTATCAATTAAAGCATGATAACATGCCTCGCCATAAAAGTAACTTTAGGCCAGCACTGGACGTGCACGAGTCGTCGAATCGGTATTCTTTGCTATAGCCCCCATGCCTGTCAGTACTGCCGACATATTAACAGCTTCTTCGCCGTTCGCAAATCCAGCAGCTACAAGATCGTCAAGTCAATGAGAAAGTAGTTAGAATCGAAGTAGTGAAAACGAAGTCTATAACCTATCACCAGGGATCGGATACGGAGCAACCACAAGAAACTGATACAAAGCGTTCAAAATGACCCGACTCACCCTTACTAGCAAGACTCTCCCCCCCTACCAATTTCATTTTTGGATCGTGAATGGGTATCGATTTTATTGAGCCATTTCCTCTGTTGTTTTTACCTGGTAGCGTGGGTTGGACATCTGAAGTGACACGCTTGTGAGCATTTGAAGTTTTAGCAACCTCTTTCTTTTCAAACTGAAGTCGAGAAGTCGTGTTTGCGTCTAGACGATTTGATTTCAACGCTATGGACATCATTGGCTTCATGAACGCGGGTACAACCTGCTTGCCTCCAGTTTGTGGACCTCCACTTTGCGGGATCGTAGTGCTGTTCAATTTACCGGCACGGGAAAACTTGAGGAGATAAAACTCTCGTGACTTCCGGCTATCGTCGTCGAAGTTCTTACTCACTGCGTCAGCATCGGATGCTCCCGAAGCTAGGGCAAGATCCTTTGCCCAACTGGTGTACTGCAAGGAACACATACGGAGCTTCTGTGGATCTTCGCGATGAAATACCTTCTGACGCCTTTGCTCCGTAAGTACCGCCCTAACCGAAGTTTTGACATTGGCTTGTCTTTGCCGGCCTTCGTCAATTGAAGCAATATGTTCCAGTCCGCGGCGTGAGTGCCCAAAGTTATGCCACCATTTGTCACTGGCTTCTTCTTTATTAATTTCTATTGCGCGGCGTAAGGTGGCCGCTTTCCCCTGATTAGGCAATTGCCAAGATTGGTTGGTTGCCAACCAAATCTCACTACCGCCCTGTAACATGACTTTTGAGATCATTCTCCCGGTCTTACGAAACTCGTCATAATCGGCTTTTTGCCACCAAATATTACCTTTCTCTTCTTCGTCCATTTCCTTTGATGACTTGATTGCTAAAACACGTGCCATTGGTGAAAATGATGTGTGTAGATTCTTCTTCTTGACCTTCGGCTCATAGGCCGGAAAGAGCGATCTCCTATTATTCCCTTTCAAATTTCTACTTGAGTCGCTTTCTTTGCTCGCGTTACTTCGAGTTGATAAACCATAGTAGTCGCGATTTTTGGAAGCGTGCTTCAAGATACTTTTCCTTCTAAACTCGGATAATCCGTCAACAACACTATCGCCTCCTTCCGCACCATCCGGTTGTGCCAATCGCAATCTTGCTAGAACAGCCTGACGATCCTTTTGAGATAATTTCTCACCTAATGCATTGTCACTTTCTGCCGAAATCATCGAGATTTCGTCGTCGTAATCTTTACCAACATCATTCGTTTTTGCCGATCGATGCATTTGCGCGAGTCCTCCTGCTTCGATGGAATCATCCTTCTCATCTTTGTCATCAACAGCAGAAACCCAAGGGAATATACACTGCCACCAGGGTGCTTCATCTTTCTTGTCAACTTTGTCGTGTACTGTTGTTCCAGACAACGAAACATTTCCCTGGTAATAACCGTATGATGTATAGTTCTCAAAATCGTGATAATCTGCCTGAAAACCAGCGTATTGCTGTACTTTTGGGTCAAGTCGAGATGGTTTTCCATTCGTATCCATATCGACGCTAGGAGAAGCCGAGATATTCAATGAAATGGGAATTTTTTCACCGTGATTCATTTCCTCTTCTTCTGATGCTTCTCCTTCTATTATGTTGCTCTTCCCGTTGTCGGCAAAGTCGTTGTCAGAGTCGTTGTGGTCTATCTGCCACTCTTCGTACTCGTCATCGGACACCATAACTTTAGTAAACGAAGCTTTGTTTTCAACTTCGCTAAGATTATTTTGGGAAAAGTCTTCTAGTTCTGCGTTTGGTTCGCCTTCAGTTTTGGATGCTAGCTCCGCTAAATTGAGCATCGAATCTTTCGCGAGACCGAGCGGCATCTTGAATCTGCTGGTTTCTCACTACAAAAATGAGGGTTAGTAATATTTAGGCTCGTCCCACCTTTCACGTTTCTGTCATAGAACTATCCACCCTTCAGGAAGTGCTATAAAACCTAGTTGCTCTAACATTCAACGATTGAATAACTGTATGTTGGCTTCATATTCTGCTGCTCCTCTTGCAGCTTGGGATGCTGATGCAACAAACCAATCGAGCGTACGAGTACACGTAGTAGTTCGGAGTTCGCTTTTGACAGCACACCTGTGAACGAAGACGTGTGACTCGAACTACGAATCATAATAATAATATTACCGCACGGTAGCGTATGTACTCGTACTTAAAGTACGAGTACTACTTGTACTTGTCAGTCGAATAGGAAAAGTCATGCTCTACGGTACGTACTCGTACTAGCAGGACGTCACGTGAGATGTAAAACAAAACCAACGCTACGGCATCGCATGAGTACTACAATACGAGTACGTTCGGTACGGTGTAGTAAATTAATACTCTGGTCTGAGACGTAGCACAAAAAGAAGTGTTCCATCGATTTAGCATGGTACGGTACTTGGTACGTACTACTCGTACTCGTAGTCATCCGACTACCTTACGTACGTACGCTTTGTTCTCCGGAGAACGTTATTTTCATCTTCACTACGTTCTACGTGTACTCGTATGTACATTCTATGGTACGTACCGTACGGTACACTGCTGTACTGTTCACGGGCGGATTTTATTTGATATTTGGCGTTTTCTTAGAGTTGGAGATAATACAAATATTTGGTAGCAATCGAGCAATCGAGCAATCTAATTGGCTGATTAGACAGATCAAAATTTGCAGTCCCTTGAAATTCAGTTTCCTTGTACAATAAGGACAGTATGAGTACATACTACTGGTAATCAATCCAAATATGATCATAAATTTTGGCACAAATCCTCCATAGAATTTAATAGAATATTTTGATCTGTCTAATCATCCAATCAGATTGTTTGATTCCATATTATTCCTAACTTTACTAACAAGAGGAAGAAAACAAAAAATATCAAATAAAATCCGCTTTTTATGAGTTTTGAACAGTTGTTGGTACTTGTCAAGTATGAGAACCATACAAACTGTTATGTTCTACTATACTACAGGTACGTACAAAGCTGCAACAGTTTCCATAAGGTTGAAAGCACACCAGAGGTATTTGCACTGGTATTGGTGTCATTTTAATTTGGCATTAATTTAGAGTAAAGATAATGCTGATATCCAGTAGGAATCAAGCAATCTGATTGGTTGATCAATCATATGATCAAAATTATCAAAAATAAAGGGTGTACCCCCTTTTTGCCATTTTTTGTTTCTTAAAGCAGTTTGATTTAATCAAATTTTCTCTTTTGACTAGCTCGAATACAGTATTGACTACATTGGAATACCTTTTTGACTGGTAGTTCAAACATGATTAATCTGAAATCTACATAAATGCTAAAATCACTCTTAAATGACCTCATGAACATCTATGCATAGGTACAGATTGTACAAGAAGCACTGTACATATGCTGCACCCTTTCTATGATGGAAAAAAGAAAGGGAATTACTAGCTACTACCAAAACTGTACCCATTTCAATTTTTGGGGGAACATTGATTTACTAAACCAAAGAACTGAACAGCACAGGACAAGCAGAGAAGAAGAGTGCCCATACTGATCATGATGGGCTTTGCTGACTTGTGCTACTACCCCCCACCAGCATGTACTTAGTAATAGTACCAACATTCTTCTTCTGTGTATGCAGGAGCTTACTACTGGTGAGAGAGAGAGGAGTGGGAGAGTTGGCTTTGGCTTCTTGAAAGGGAGGAGGAGAAATTCCCATATGTGGAGATACTTGTAGACCATAAAAGGAGTTCAACTGACTCCTCCACTTCAGCATCTGTCCTGTCCACCATGGCACCAACAGCAGCACCAACTGTGCAAGAAAGAGGAGGGAAGACAAGTGGTACCTCCAGCTACACCACTTATGAGGTTTTGTCTGTGCTGTACATCCTGAAGAAGATTGTTCTTATTGGACCAGATCAATAAGAGAATTACTGCTACTTTACCCCTAATGTTCTAAAAAAGTGTCCACAATACTTTGTGTTATTTGGAAGCAATCTGTTGGTGCCCTCTTAAAAAGGGAGTGTGCCAGCAATCATGGTGGCGTTGCTTCCATGTGACTTGCTATCCAAAATATACATTGATGGATACTATGCATACAGATGCATTTGCTTGTTCCAATGTGTTCCCTCTCTGTTATCAGTCCCAGTTTTTAGGGAAGGTATGCAAGAAAACTGACAAGTCAAAATAACACTAGTAGTAGTGAAAAATTATCTAGTAACAATTTTAGATTGTACTACAGTTAGTAGTATTATGAAGGATGAACTGAACTGGATTATATTGGATTAGGGCTGGACGCTGTGTTAGTTCCTTGCCCACTATTGCTGTGTTATTTTGACCTCATTGTCTCCATACAATGTCTTTGGTTTTTGTTGAGGAAACCCTACTAGGTCAGCAAAATTGACCTGAGATACAAAAAGGTTTTTGCAGCAGAAACAGCAACATAAAATTCTGCTTTGGTGGAGCTTTGCACGGTTTGCATTTGGGTTTTCAATTTGTATACAATGGCAGCATTTGCCATCATGATAGCAAATCCTGTGGTAGACTTTTGTTTTGGCTTTATATTTGCATATGCGGCATCAACTACACAGGTGATGGTGGCATTGGCAGGTAACGGTGGAAATGGTGGAAGATTATTGGGTAATGGGATCAGAGAAAAATTGAAGTTTCCATCTTTGAGTTTGTTGTCTTGAAGTATTGTAGTTTTGCGGTATCTTAAGCCCCATGTCTTCATGCATCGAAGGTATAGAGCAACACCTTTTAGGTATTTGAAGTGTAGGTCTGATGGGTTCAAAGAAAATTTTGACATGGTAGATACAGCAAATCCAATGTCAGGGCAACAAACATTGTACTCATAAAGGATTTCACCAAAAAGTGTTTGGTAGGCAAATCTATGTTGTTGTTTTAATTTCTAGTGGTGTTCAATGGATCCTTCTGGTGGACCCTTCACTGAAGATGCGATCCAGAGCTTTTTCAGGGAGGGGAGCAATAGGATGACTGGTTAGTTTGTCTTTGGGTCTTGTCCAGCTATGTGATCAAGCAATTTGGTTGATGCAGTCTTCACAAGAATTTTTGATGTAGTGTTTTGTCTGATTGATATCGACGCCATTCTACAATGTGGCGAGTCCTAAATTCT